ATTCTGTGAGGTTTGTCATAAAAACCCCCCACAACCATGATTGTTTTATTTTATATAAATTAAATCATATTATTTTCATTATAAATTATTTTTAAAATAATTTATTTATTAAATTTAATAAATAATAAAAAAAATATAATTAATTTATTATATTAAAATTAAATAATATATCTATAATTAATATTAAATAATAATAAAAAAAAAAATAAAAAAATATATAAAAAAAATATATTTATATAAAAAAAAAAAAAAATATTAAATATAATAATTAATAATAAATATTATAAAAAATTATTAATAAATATTATAAATAAAAAAAAAAAATAAAATAAAAATTTATATTTTTATTAAAAATAAAAATATATATATAATAATTTATAAAAAAATAAAATATTATAAAAATTTTAATTTATTAATTTAATATTTAATTAATAATTTTTAAAATTTTATTTTTTAAATAAAAATATTATATATATATTTATTTAAATATATATTTTAAAAAATAAATATTAATAAATATAATATATAAATATATTTATTAATTATATAATAAATATAATAAATAATATAATTAAAAATATATATAATTATATTTAAATAAAATTAATTTATAAAAAAAAATATTATAAATTATATATATATAAAATAAAAATAATAAAAAAAATAAAAAATAAAAATTATAAATATATATAATATTAATTATATATATAAAAAAAATATATATTATTAAAAAAAATAATATATAATTAATATTTAATAAAAAATAAAAAAAAATAATATTTATAATAATAAATTAATTTAAAATAAAAAATAATTATTATATAATAAAATTAAATAAAAAAATAATTTAAATAATATAATATAATAATATAAAATATATATAAAATATTAATAATTAATATTTATTTAAAATAAATATATATATTATAAAATATAAAAAAAAAATAAAATATATATAATAAAAAATTTAATATAAAATTATATAATAAAATAATAAAAAAAAATAAATAATATTATTTAAAATTATATAATAAAAAATTAATTATAATAAAAATAAATAATATAAAATAAATAAATAAAAATATATATTAAATTAAAATTTATATAATTATATTTATAATAATAATTATATTTAATAAATATAATTATATATAAATTAATAAATTATATTAATATATAAATTTATAATATATTAAAATTATATTATATAATTAAATATTTATAATAAAATTATAAATTTAAAATTTAATATAATATAAAAATTATAAAATATATTATTTTAAATATAAATAATAATAAATTAATATATATATTATTAAATAAAAAATATTATATTTAAAATATTAATTA